ATTTATTAGTTGGGTCGATGAACCATTCACGTCCAGCTGAGGCACCATAGTAGTAATAACCAGGTGGTATAGTGGACACATCCAGTACTCCTAAAAATGCCATTTTCAGAAACCATTCCAAGAAGGCTACAATATCATGGTAATTCGCATATTGCGTGTCTATAGCCATAGTTTATAAGGTTGGCAAACCTATGTGCATCATTGGTGCGGTTGTTAGGATACAGCATGTCTGAGCGCATCGTCGTGCGAACTGGGCCTGGAATCGCAAAACAAGTAAATTGTTAAGAAGCGGAAGTTATAGAGCTATTATAGCGTCTCTCTTGGATTTAGGCTTTGCTAGATCACTACTAAGAGCGAGTTATTAAAATTCCACGCACTAATTTAAACCTAATTCTGACGATGAAAGCGACAATGACTAGTCTATAAATACTTTTGAAAAAAATCACTTTTTTACCTGAATAACTCCAGAATATGCTGGTTGAATACTAGACGGATAGCTGCATGCATAGCTTTTCAATGTTCCATCTCTATCGGTAAAGAAATAATGAAGATGATCAGCGTCGTAGAGAAGCTCGACTGCCTGGAATAGATTGTCAAATCTAACATTTAGAATATCAAAATGCAGTTCAGCTTGAAATTGGGGCTAAAAGATCCTCTACCAAGTGTCAGCAAAGAAAGAGAATAATTAATATTACAAACTCACTTTTTCTACTTCTTCTTTGAATTTTTGCTCAGATTCTGGGTGAGAGCTGCACAGAGTCTGGAAAAAGTAACTGTAGTTCTAGGAACTCAATCATCTTCACAACGAATGAAAATTAGAAAATAAATGTGTTCCGCCAAAAGTCACTTTTCTGAAATTTTCTAGGGACTAACGATTTTTGAGCAGGCTTTATACAATTGTCTTGACTTCACTTGAAAATACTTTCCACAGATAAATTGTAAGTTGAAAATTTATTCGTTATACATGTCTACAATTTCATTTCGACTTGATCGTTTCGGCCACCCATTTGATGCCTTCCGAGACTCCTTCATTGGTTAGAGCTGAGCATCCTTGTATTTGCCACACGCGATCACGGATCTCCGTGAGCTTCAGCCGTTTTGAAATTTCTGACGCTGGCGCAGACGAGACCAAATCTTGCTTATTCGCGAATATTAGTACGGGAACTCGACTGAAACAATGGTTAAATTGATTGAGATATTTAAGAATGAAGGACTCTAGAAGCAATAAGAAGGCATCCTACCAGTTGTGCGTGTCTTAAACTCGGTTTTAACTATCTACGTCAGATGTTTTGTTATTTTTGGAGAAATCCTCTTACAAGGTTGAAGCAGTATGGAGAAAAACATTTCGCTTACGCTCTCCTATGCTTAAATTCCGAGACTCAATGAAACGGACTAAAATTACTAGCAGCTATCCAAAGAAGTATGTTTTAAATTATGAAAAGGAATTTTTGCGTCATCCTTCGTATAATGTGAAGTTAAGAAATTTTTTTAAAAAATGTTCATTAACAAATTCTCACGGCAAAGTAAGGGTGAAAATAATGCTAAATTGGAGAAGTTATGGCAGATAAGAATCGTGCACAAATGCACTCTTTTGTTTAGCTAAATGTTTATCTTCGAAGACTGTCTAGCTTAGTCGTCTTGTGAAATCAATAAGAAATGAGAGAGTGATTTTGAAGAATTTCTTTAATTCCACAAAGTTGTTAAATCCAAACAAAATATACAAAAATGCCTGATCAAGTAAATGCATGTTTATGGAAAATTTGCACCTTGATATTATCAAGTAGATAGAAACGCATTCAACGAAAGCAATGCCATTCGATAAGTCGATATTACGAAGGAGTTTGCTTACCTCAACTTCTCTTCATCCAGAAGTTCCATCAATTCCACACTCGTCTCATCAAATCTCCGTCGATCGCTTGAGTCGATCACATAAATGAGCGCATCAGTATTGTCAAAGTAGTTGCTCCAGAATGGCCGAATCGATCGTTGGCCCCCAATATCCCAGACATTCAGACGGATATCTCCATTCGTCACAACACTTTTCACGTTAAATCCTCGCGTTGGTGTCACATTTGTGATTTCCTCTGCTGACAACTGCTTTAGAATACTTGTCTTGCCTGCATTGTCGAGTCCAAGTAGTAAAATTCGAATTTCACGTCCATTATTCGATTTGAATGATTTGATAATATCAAGTAGTCCCATATTAGAGGGATATATGAGGAGCTAGACTTGAAACAGATCGTAGAGGTTGGCTGGAGCAAAACAGCGCTGGCCCCCCGGCACGAACTCCATGGCAACGGTGGTAACGCGGCTACTTAGAAACCGATGAATTCTTTAGCGTGCGTCGACCTATCCATATATCTCTGGAAGAGGATTGCATTACTAAAGCAAAATCGTTTTATGTGATTTAAGCAAAACGCTTGGAATAATAACAACGGTGGATGTTCGACAAAAAATAATATAAACAGTTCAAAAAAGGAAATAGGAAAAAGAAGTAAAAACAGCAAGAGTTAAGACAAACAAAAAAAGCGCGAACTCTTCAGAATCCATTTATTTTCAGCGTCATTAAATCTTTATTCAAACACGTCAGCAAAAAATGTTTCAATTGCTACTGGAAGTCAGTTGATTTATGGTCAATGAAAACAAGGATCTAATTTCAAATCTTAAATTGCAACATTTTCCTGCAAGCTGATGATTTTTGAGATAATTCATGACCAAAGAAAGTATTTTTGATCCAAATCTTTTGACTCTCAACCGCCCTAGTTTCGTCGAATGGCTTTCTTCATAACTTTTTTTTCTGGTAAAAATGCAACCGGACATCAGCTTGTCAAACACGTGCGATCGAATTGCAGAATCGCT